ATTGAGAGCCGAGATAAAATTCAAAAAGTAGTTGTCGAAAACTCACTTTTGGGTCGACCCGAATTTCCCTTTCAATGAAATAAAAATCGACACAAGTCGAGAAATAGTAAGAAGGCAATTATACTATCTTATAGTGCAGAAAATTATCTATCAAACAGTGTAGAACATATTGGGAACAATTGTCATTTTCCATATAAAAATTTGTGTGACAAAAAACGCCATTACTTATGGGCCAACCTAATACTATCGTCGAACGGATCGTCTTTAATCGTTTCGAAATTGTGTGTGTCAGTAAAATTCAAGAGAAGGCAGAAATATCTCTTCTTTTGATCAACAATACTAATTGTCCAAAAGGCGCTTACATCGATTCCAACTCGGACTCTTTGCTGCCAGATGACAAATGGTCGTTGTAAAAAGAAGTAACGGTTCTTGTTTTAATACCAATGTCCTGCAAAGGTAAAATTTGAGTGAAGTGCGTTCCTCTTCGCTGCGGATGATGGGCGCGTTAGGAGGAACGTGCCAAACCTGTTGTCCACTACTTGTTTAAGCGAGTAAGAGACAAGACCGTATCATATCATTCGTACCAATCGCCTTCCACCAATCGTTGTCGCTTACTCCGCTTCAACAAGTAGTGAACCAACTGGCGGCGCGCTAAGCCCAGCTTCACTGAAACGCCCCATCATCTCCACTGAACAATATAAAAAAATTACGACAAAAAGACAAATTACAAATCAGAAAAAAAGTAGAAACGAATCAAAAAGATACAATGCTTCAAACGGACATTTCATTCCTGGATTAAGTTAACCAGTGTTTGTTGAAGCTCATTTACAAATATCAAACAAACTGATACAATGAAGTGGAAATTAAAGATAAAAGAATTAGTTAATAAAATGAGTGTGGTAAAAAGAAAGAATGTTACGTTGATGAGCCTACCGATAACAATTTGTAGAATGTGGGACGAAGGGTGAAGAATCGAGTATCTGTTGGACGACCTTCTTCATCGAATGAAAAACTGTGGAACCTGAAAGAAGCGATATTATAAGTCAACCATAAAATAGAAGCTGTAAAAAAGGAATAAAGAACAGAAAGACTTGATTATACATATCAAAGTTCCTCACTTGGGCATAATCTCATCAGGAGGACGCATAACGGGCTTGGCTTTTGGATCGAATAGACCAGAAGGAAACAGATAACTAATAGCTCTGAAAAACCGTTCAACTGACGCGGCTCCGAGAATGTTGCAAAATATTCTTCTCACGAAGACAGAATGCAACTAGCAGGAAAAAAGTTACTTGTCTATATCCTCTTGCGTCATAGTGTGTGGATCCATATTCATCATATTCGCCAAATGTCGACGCCCTAATTCGAAATCAGCTCTGAACAACAAGGTGAAAATTTTGTGCGAGGGCTACAATTAGGGGGTTGAGCAGAAAGCCCTCCGACACTTTGAGCAGATGGTTCTTGAACCTCGTTCCATGGAGGAATTTTGAAGTTGTAAACCAATTTGTTCTGAAATTTCCGCTCAAAGAGTCGCAAGGCTTTGCTCTACCCATTACTACGACAGCATACCGCTCCCTAGCCATCATTGCAACATGATCTTTGCTATGTTTGATGTACGTTTCTAATGCTCTGGCAATTTTCTTCAGCGGTTTCTCCTCAGTAATACTCGACGAAGCTACGGCCTCCGTGGAAAGTAACCGTGCCACACGAACGCTGGGTAACAGCGTCCGAAACATGGCCCAGATCTTTTGTGGTGCCTGAAACTATCAATAAATGACCAAAGCAGTTCTACCCGTTTTGTAAAGCCCCCAAAGGTGGCCTGGGAAAAAAAGAAAAAAATTGCGATGATACATAAAAACTAGTTGCGTCAGTGGGTATTTTGGCTCGCCCGCGACTGTACTTCTCCGAAATGCCGGCTCTGTCTCTGCTCTTTCAGGACGAGCCCAGGTCAAATATGGAGATCTACAATTGAGTTCCATAAATGCCTCCTTGATCTCATCCCCTATCAAAGCAAGGTACCTGCACCGAGGTAGGGAGTGACTATCAGGAAGGAATAAAGGGGAAAAAAGGGGCGTGCTTCTTTGCTTGTTCAGTGACTCTGGGACATAAGCACCAGTTGTATGAATCGAAATATGAATCATAAGGGTAAAAAATTCGACAGCCAATGAAACTGGTAATTCCCTAGGGAAACGTCCAGTCAGCAGGAATGGCGTAATAAAATTCTTTTACTTCTACACCACATAACTACTGCTGTACCGT